TCCGCAACGGGAGAAGCCGCAACAGTGAGAGGCCCGCGTACCGCAAAAAAAAAAAAAAATAAAAAAAGAGAGGGAATTTAAGTTTTCCATTAGTTCCCTTGGAATGATCACATTGATTACAGTTAAGAGTCCGAGCTTACCAGTATCATTGATGAAGGGCCACAGAAAAGATGATGTGAAGGTATTTTCTTTATTATTGTTTGTAATACTATATAAGTATAGTTTAGCATAAGTATAGCATAAGTATAGCATCGGCAGGCGGACTCCCAACCACTGCGCCACCAGGGAAGCCCATAAGTATAGTTTTTAAAATACACTTTCTTCAAGAGTTAGATGTGAAATGCTAAAGAGCTCTAATTTCAGAGATAAGGATTGGCTACCCCTGTTAGCTGGGCCATAAAACAGATATTGGTGAAGAAACATTGTTTCCCCTCAAGTTGCAGTATGAGCTTTTGGTCATTAGTGAACTTGGTAACGTAATTTGTGCTGAGCTGTGTACTGGTGGTATACTGTGGAGAATTACAGAAAAATGCTGATTAAATGAAACTATGACTAATAGCTACCACTTAACTGAATACTTATTCTGTGTCAGGCTTTTGTTTTCTTTAATTTTCAACTGTATGTATATTAAAAATGAGGAAAGTAAATGTGTTTTACATATTTTACTGAGCATCAGAGAGGCTTAAGTAACGTATAGTAAGGCACCAAAAGAACATGTGATTTACAAGTCAAGCAGATCTGGGTTCATTTCCCAGCTTTGTGTGACCTTGGATAAGTAGGAGGAGGCATTATTTGAGGAGACATTTATAATTATCATTTCTTATGATTAGCAGTAATAGCCCTTAAACTGAGAAGGGCATTTAGAAACTTACTGTTCTACTTTGAAGCAGGATACCCAAAAAGAAATAGTGGCACCACCAAAGGGAGGTGTATTGAGTGAGTGCCTGGTACCTTCGGTAAAAAGGAAGGAGTGATATGGAACTGGCTATCCCCTGAAGGGAAGGGCTTTTAGCTGCCAAAATATCTGTGGACCAATCATGGCATTTCAAAAAAAACTTGATTTAAATTGAACATACTGAAGTCAAAGTATTTGTTAATTGATTCATAGATGTGAAATGTAGGACTTGAGAAACATTTGTGGATGCAGCAAATACTATTAAGGATTAGTTTGCCTTGGGTAGTCTTATTTACTCTCCTGGTATAATTTTTAGTAGCACTTTCATTCTCAAGAGTCTCTTGATTTGGGTGATTAATTATATAATCACCCTAATTATGTAGACCTTATTTCATTTCTGAAGTTATTCTTTATTCTTGTCAAACATATGCTAGTTATTAGCTCTGCTGGTTCCAAATATGCAAAAAATTAGCATCTGTCATCAGTCAAGTGTTTCAGTACTTTTGGTGCTGCCAAGTTTACTGTCTTTTAGATTGTATCTTTTGTAGTTTGAACAGTTGTTAGACTTACTAGTTTTAGGACTGCATTTGTTTTTTGTTTTTTAAAAAATACTTTTGATTACAGTAATTTTAAGTAAAATCTGCCTATAGACAATTTCTATTTTGAAGTAGAAATCTAAAATTAGTTGATTTTTAGATTATGTTTGGATTATATGGGGGTGGTTAAATGTTTATTATTTGTCTTTAAAACAGGATGATGATTGGGGAAACATCAAAATAAAAAATGTAAGTATTATCTTAAGAACACTAGTTATAATGCAGTTCCCTAATTATTACACAAAATGTATTCCAAATGCCTTTTTTTCTGTCTGTATATCCAGTTGTTCCAGCACTATCTGTTGAAAATATTTTCCTTTTCTCATTGATTTATGTCAGAGTCTTTCTTGAAAATCAGTTGTTGGTCTGTTTTTGGACTCTTGTTTCATTGATATATTTGATTAACCTTATACTAGTACCACATGGTCTTGATTACTAAAGCTTTATAATAAGTCTTGAAATAAGATAATGTAAGTTCTCCAGCTTTTTCTGTTTCCTCAAGAATATTTTAACTCCTTTGCATTTCCTTATAATTTTAGAATTAGTCAATTCCTGCAAACGGACTCCTGGAATTTTGTTTAGGTTGCATTGAATCTGTAGTTCAGTTTGGGGACAGTGAACATCTTAAAGGTATTGAGTACTGAAATCCTTAAATAAGATGTACTTCTCCATTTCTCTTAGCCCAGTTTTATAATTTTTCAGTATAGAGAGCTTGCACGGTTTTTGTTAGATTCTGGAACTTAACATTTCTTGGCTATTTAATGATACTTAAAAAAAAATTGTTTTCCAATGTTCATGGCTAGATTATAAAAATACAGTTTATTTTTAACCTGTGACCTTGCCAATTTCACTTTCTAGTTCCAGTAGTTTTTTTGTAGATTCCATTGGGTTTTGTATGTACGTAAGCATGCTCTTTGCAAATAGAGGCAGTTTTACTTTTCCCTTTCCAGTCTTTACGGCTGTTATTTCTTTTTTTGCCTTACTTTACTGGCTAGGACTTCTAATACAGCGTTGAATAGAAAGTGGTGGGAGTGGACATCTTTGTCATTTCCTAGTTCACTAAGACCTTTTAAGTTATGAATGGCTCTTGAATTTTAAGTGCTTTTCTGCTTATTAAAAGGATGATATGATTTTTCTCTTTTGTTCTGGTAATCTGGCTAGTCTCATTGATTTTTAACTATTAAACCTTGTGTTTTTGGCATGTGCAGTTCTCAGATTTCTTGGTCTTTGTGACCTCTTTACACTCTCAAAAATTATTTTTTTTTGCGGTATGCGGGCCTCTCACTGTTGCGGCCTCTCCTGTTGCGGAGCACAGGCTCCAGACACGCAGGCTCAGCGGCCATGACTCACGGGCTCAGCCACTCCGCGGCATGCGGGATCCTCCCAGACTGGGGCACGAACCCATGTCCCCTGCATCGGCAGATGGACCCCCAACCACTGCACCATCAGGGAAGCCCTCAAAAATTATTTTTTAACCCCAAAGAATTTCATATATATGGGTTATGTCGATATTTATTGTATTGGAAATTAAGGCTGAGAAATTAAGCATATTATTCACTTAAAAGTAGCAATAGCAAACCCATTACCTTTTTTTTTTTGAATTATTTATTTATTTTTGGCTGCGTTGGGTCTTTGTTGCTGGGTGCGGGCTTTCTCTAGTTGCGGTGAGCAGAGGCTACTCTTTGTTGCGGTGCGCGGGCTTCTCATTGTGGTGGCTTCTCTTGTTGCGGAGCACAGGCTCTAGGCACGTGGGCTTCAGTAGTCGTGGATCACAGGCTCTAGAGCACAGGCTCAGTAGTTGTGGCGCACGGGCTTAGTTGCTCCGCTGCATGTGGGATCTTCCTGGAACAGGGCTCGAACCCGTGTCCCCTGCATTGGCAGGCAGATTCTTAACCACCACGCCACCAGGGAAGCCCTGTCTACTTCTTTTATCAAGCGTGTCGTAATCTCCAACTATTATTGTGGATTTGATTATGTCTCCTTTCAGTTGTATCAGTTTTGTGTATTTTCACGTTCTGTTATTAGGTGCATGCATATATAGGATCGTTAAATCTTGATGAATTGACCTTTCATCACAGTGAACTGTTCCTCTTTATCCTTGGTAATATTCTTTGCTTTCAGTTTTACTTTGATTTTAATAAAGCTACACCATATTTCTTTTAATTATTGTTTGCGTTTCATGTATTTTCCCATCTTGCTTTTAATACATCTCTGTCTTTGTTTAAAATGGATTGTTTTAGGTTAGCATATACTTGGGTCTTGCTTTTTTATCCAGTCTTACAATCTCTACTTTGTAATTGGAACCTTTAGACCACTTATGTTCAGTGTTATTATCCACATGTTTGGGTTTAATTTACCATCTTACTATTTGTTTTCTGTCTCATTTGTTCTTTTGCTGCCTTCTTTTTGATTATTTTTAATTTTATGTTTATCTCTGACTTTGCTTTATCTGTTTTATTATTTATGCTTTTATAATAAGTTTTCTGAGAAAATTCACTGACTATGAAATTCAGCACTTTAAAATGTTCATTTCAGTGTGTTCTGCTATATTCATAGAGTTGTGCAACCATCAACACTGTCTAGATTTAAAACATATCATCATCCAAAAAGAAACCCTGTGCTCATTAACAGTCATTTTCCATTCTCCCCCCCCATTCCCAGAGTTTTAATGATTTCTCTAGGGTAACAGTTCTCTGAAGTGTATCCCGGGAACTCCAGGCAGTACCCAGGACTCTTTCAAGGGATCCTTGAGATCAAAACTGTTTTCGTATTTAAAAAATGTATTTTCATGTTGACATTAAGATTTTATTTGCCTTTTCTATTGTTGATTATGTACAGTAATTTTTCAGAGGTTGTGGGACATGTGATACTGCAGCAGATTGAATACAGAAACAAATATGAAAATCCACTGTTTTCTCTTAAGCGAAACATTAAAGACATTTGAAAAAAATGTAGAACAATATCAGTCTTCACTAGTTTTGTTTTGAGAATATAATTATCTTTCATAAAAATGTTAATTATCTTAACATTAAGTGGGTTTATTGTTTTTGAATGAATATTATTAAAATTTCTCAGTTTTTTTTTTTTTTTTTTTTTTTTTTTTTTTGGCGCGGGCCTCTCACTGTTGTGGCCTCTCCCACTGCGGAGCCCCGGACGCGCAGGCCCAGCGGCCATGGCCCACGGGACCAGCTGCTCCGCGGCATGTGGGATCTTCCCAGACCGGGGCGCGAACCCGTGTCCCCTGCATCGGCAGGCGGACTCTCAACCACTGCGCCACCAGGGAAGCCCAAAATTTCTCAGTTTTAATTTCTAATACAGTAAATATTGAGAACTGCATAACAGAAGTTCTCAATTTTTAAGAATGTGAAGCAGGAGTCATCAAACTGTGAACTCTGAGCCAAATCTGGCCTGCAGCCTGTTTTTGTAAGGCCTGCAAGTTAGGAATATTTATATTTTTAAAGGGGTGGGGTTGAAAACAACAAAGAATATGCAACAAAGATGGTACATGGCCTAGAAATTCTAAAATATTTATTATATGGCTTTTAATAGGAAAAGTTTGCCAACTGTTGGTATAAAGGATCCTATGATGATGTTTGATGTTTCTGAATTGCTGTTGTAGGGTTTATATTATGTATCTATAACGAGTGATTTCAGGCATAGTATAAGACTATTACAACAGTGTATTTCCATTTCCCTGCTTTGTGCTGTTGTCATACATACATATAGTTTACTTCTACCTGTTAGAAACTTCATACTACATTGCTATTATTTTTACTTTCTACATTGCTACTTTTGCTTTAAATAGTCATTTATCCTTTAAAGAGATTAAAAAATGTAGAAAACCCATATTTACCATTTCTGGTGCTCTTCCTTTGGATCCAGATCCAAATTGCCATCTGGTATCATTTTCTTCGGCCTGGAGAACTTCCTTTTTACATTTTTTGCAGAGCCTATCTATGCGTTTTCTCTGCTTTTGTTTCTCTGAAAAGCTCTTGGTTTCATTTCATTTTTGAAAAACATTTTTGATTGGTATTAAATTCTAGATTAACACTCTTTCAGTACTTGAAAGTTGTCTTCTCATGTTTACAGTTGCTGTCATTCTTATCATTGTTGCTCTGCATGTAATGTGTCCTTTTTTCCCTGGAGTCTTTTGAGATTTTTCTCATTATTGGTTTTTGGCAATTTGTTTTGGTCAGGTTTTCTTTATGTTTATTCTGCTTAAGCCCTCTTGGATCTGTGTGTTTATAGTTTTTAATTAAATTTAGAAAATCTTTAGCTATTTCTTTAGATATTTTTTCTGTCTGTCCTTCTCTTTCCTCTTTTTTGAGACTACAGCTACACATATATAGGGTAGTTTTGCCCATTGTAGAATTTTGGTCCCTTTTTTACAGATGTTTTACAGGTTTTTTTACAGACGTTCATCAGGTTGAGGAAAGTTCTCTTCTATTTCTAGTTTGCTGAGAGTTATCATGAATGGGAGTTGAGTTTTGGCAAATACTTTTTCCATATATATTGAAATTTTTCATTTTAAATCCTTTAATCTCAATTTGATGAACTACACTGCCTTTTTCGAAATAGTAAACCACTTGGTTATTATATATTTTCCTTTTTATATAATGTGGATTCTATTGGTAGTATTTTGTTAAGTATTTTTGTGTCTGTTTTTGTGAGAGATGGTTTGTAGTTTTCTTGAACTGTCTTTGATTTTTGCTATCAGTGTAATGCTGACCGTATAAAATGAGTTATGAAGCATTCATGCCTCTCCTCTTTTCTTAAAGAGTTTATATATATATATATATATATATATATATATATA